AAGTGATCAGCGTGGTCTCTTCTAGCATCAGAGCTTGCATCTCTGACAAAATATTTAGTATTTTAAGATACGACATCCTGATTCTTCATACATTTGAATAAGACTAAATGCTGTAGAAGTGAAAAGTAATTTATGTCTTAAGGCACCTCTGGTGACTATCTAATCTTACCAACCACTCAAGGCAGGTTAGAATCTGAATTTGGGTCAGACTGCCCAGACCTGTGTCCCATTGAGCTCTGAGTATGTCTGTGGTTCTCAGCCTCTCTCAGGTCAAACTGCACCACTGGAATTTCCCTTGCTGCAACTCATGTTTTTTGCTAATCTCTTTTGCCATGTACCTTTCCAAAAATTCTGAATTCCTAATCAACAATTAAATAGATGACAATAGCAATTTAACCCTTTGCCTAGGCTCTGATCTGCACAAACCCAATTTCATTAGCCACTGCTGTTACATTGCTCTTCTGTTCCCATTATTTTGGTGTCACTTTTTCCAGTTGTGAATAACTTTCTTGTACTTGTGGTTCCAAACTGAACACAGATACTAAACCTAGTGCTGGATGCATTTATTGCAGTAATTCTGTACAAGAGAAATTGATAACAAGAATGAAGAAAAAAGCAAGACTAAAATATGTAAACAATTTTTCCTTCACTGTTAAATTGCATGTCGTTTGCCACAATATAGAAATTGTGTCATAACCTATGATGTAGTTAAATATTACATTTATTATGAGATTCTCTATCTGCATAAAGAAGCATGGAATTTAGATGAAAGTTAGGGATGGGGGAAAAAAGTTAAGCAGATTAAAAATATTTTGGTTTAGAAAATATGTGCATATATTAAGTAAATTTCCATTCTTATACAGTATTTAGAATTGTCTATGTTGGATCTGTTCTATCATAGCTATGGGGCTAGAAGGAATGAAAGCGTGGATATTGCTACATACTTTCTTCTGTTCAGAGTTTGAGCTCACATCATACTATACTGGCAACAGGAAGCAAGGATGAGCAACATAAAATAAGCATGAGGTAGCTCCACTGCTTTTGTTCCCTCTTCATCCAAGCATGTTTTTAGGTAAAGCCACCAAAACCATACTGTGTGGTTCTCAGTTCTTTAGGTATATTAATTCCCCTTATTCTGGATTCCATCTACATTTTAGTTATCCTCTAGCTCTTTGTTGGATCCCCAAATGGGTTGAGAAGTAGACAAACAGCATATTTTTCCTCCTGCATCAATCCTGGAAATTTCCAGAAGTGTGGACACCAGTTATTCTAGAATTTTTCATGAGAGAGGAATTAGTTTTGGGAAATGAAGAGCTCACTGAGTGAGTGGCTTTGGATCACAATGTTAGGCTGAGACCTCAAAAATTCTCTCTTATCCTATTTTATGGGGTTAAGTCCATTTATGTATCTGTCATTAACAGCATAAATAGCAGAAATTTTAATTTTGAAGAAGATAGTTCTCATTATTTCCATCTGTTTATACTAATATACTACAACAACACAGTCCTAATTTCTTCTGTTGCCCCCATGTAAATGATGATTAAATCACATAAAACTCAATCTGAAGTAAACTGAGAATAATCTGAAGAAAAATTTTGAGACTGCTGCCTAAACATCTTGCTTCTATCTCATAAAAAAATAAGCAATTTTCTAACAGTAATATGCATACTTATGCATATGCATAGATAAATAGATATATACATATAAAAATTGAATATTTAGGCACTTTTCTCTGCAACTTTTTAATAATGCTTGCTATTTGTTTGGGTCTAGATGATGCTAAATTGGTATAAAAATTCCAACAATTTTCAAAGAGCACAGAATTCTTCTGGGCTGTCTGTGATAATGAATGCGTAACATTAAACACATGGAGATCATTAAAGTATCTAATTGAAGCTATCCCTTTGAAATATATTGTCTGCTTTTTCATTGAGTTCACAGAATCAGGTTTCTTTCTAATGCAGGTACCAAATTAATCTGCATGTTTATTCAAGGCAAAAAGTATTATTGTATGTTGTAGTATTTATTTAGTTGGACTGTGGTTATTTTACTGGGATCTTAGGACATTTTCTAAAAAACTTCCTCTCTAGAAAAGCCAGTAGAAATGGAAATTGAGGATGATTTGCTGTGGGCGCTCTTGACAAGAATGTATTTAGAAAATTCAAAGAATGAAAGAAGACTCAAATGACACATACAAAACCAAGAGATGTTATGAAAATTTTTTGTTTGATCAATGTTAATTAGCTCATGGAGCAATTATGTAAAATTTGGCAGTATCCACTAGAATAAATAATAATCTAAGTGGTTGAAAGGGAAACGTTTAAGAGTAATATTGACTGAAATACTCACTTTTTAAATAGGTAAAGAGAAAGCTTTCAGGGAATTGTCACCATTTCTATCTGACAATCACTTGCTGAAAAGTGAATTTTTCTGCTGGCTATATAATTTTTCCTATTTTTCCTGGGAAACTTGCTTTGTGGTAGTGTGATCCCGCATTGTTTTCTGCAGGATTGAATGTAGAAGGTAGAAATGGCCTGTATGTTTTTGTGATTTCAATAATCAAGGAATTCCCATTCAGGAAGGCATCAAGCTCCATCACTTCAGAACTAGTCTCTCTTACCTCCTCGTTGCACACTGGCTCTTGAAAAAGACACATTCTCCTCAGCTCTTGAAAATCCTTGGCCTAAAATTGCCTGTATTATTGGCCACTTTGAGCCTGCTAATCTGTCTTTTCCCAGTCCTTTGCCATTTTAATGAATTATAATCAGAATGTTAGTATGAAGTTTATTAAAAAATATTCTGGCTTCCAACATTAAAAATACTGCTCTTTCATAATAATATCTGCAAGAAATTCCTTGGAGTTTTTCTGGTAAATTATGTGTTTAATTTATGTCTATCATTGCTAGCAAAAAAGTAACTACTCTTAGAATAACTACCCATACCACAGATTTAGAGAAATGTTGTCAGTAGAAATTCTTGCAGAAGAAAAGAAAATTAAGGGAGAGGTCAATAATTGCATCACAATATATATATTCTAATCAAGTGGAAATGCCTGCTGGGAAGTTGCTGAGAGCCTTACTTTGAAAGTTAGGTGTCAAACCAGAACAAAATTTTGAAAGAGCAAACATAAAATTTGTTTTCATTCAATCTTTAAGAAATGCACATTTCATCACGTACATTATGTATTAGCATTTCCATTGCTTACATTTTACATGAAAATATTACAGCCTAAGCTTAAATTGATTAAATTTTAAATCAATTAGCAGTAAAGTAACTTTAAAAAATATTTGAAATTTATAACAGCTTATAATAAAGGTAAAGTCTTTTCATAGACTGTGCTTTGATTGAGAATAAGACATGGTCAATGTTCAAATGAGTGCTCAGTGAAGTAAGTGTTGTTTGCAAGGAGCAGCATCAAAAAGTGCTTTGGATATTCCATATATTTAAATCATATGAGCATCTAAAACTTGATTAATTCCTCCCAAGATTAACATATAAAATATGATGAAACTGTATGCTCACACATAAGAAGGAACATGAAATGCAAGGCAGAACTGGAATATATAACTATTCATGTAAAATTAATGCTAAATAAAATATTACTGTAAATTACATAATGATTTGAAAATTTGAGTAATGAGTAGGGAGTAAATATTCATGTTCAGTGTTCCTCACTGCTTGTTGAAAATAGGTTTCCAGGCTTGATAAACTGTAAAGGGAAGCTATTGGATATTTTGAAATTCAAAATTAGGCTTCTTGGATATTATTTCATTACTTTGAAAGAGAAATTTATTTCAAACATATTGACATGCACACACAAGAAAAAATATTGAAACCTCAAACTAAGTTTTGAATATTTGGATTTTTTTTCTGCATAATATTAAAAAAAAGTCTGAACTTATTTTTCTTTTTAATTATTGGAACTGGAGGTGAACCTCAAATGCCTTTAGTCATGCAGCAGTGTGGGCAAGCTTTTCATCCAGACTTAGCTCAGCTTTGCTTTTTAAAGAAGTGTAATCTTATCATTTGACCAGAGATAAGCTCAAAGATGGTTTTAGCCGTGAAAACTGTATATACATCTCTGTCAGTGGTGTGTCTAGCAGACTGTATTTGAAACCTTAATAGGGAGAACCCAAGCATCAGCAGAAAATAAAGATTGTTCCTTTCCTGACTTCTGTGTATGCAAGCAGTAAATAAAAATAATTGTTTTTAATAGCATGATGATAATCTTCTAAGTTTGCATAGTTAGATAATTAAAAGTGAAGAGTAAAAAAAAAAAAAAGGTAAAGTATATAAAAAAAAGAAAATCTGTGGTGAATATATATTGACAGTAACCTGTCAAAACTACAGTAGAATAGAACTTTTATTAGTCTATCTATTAATATGCATCCAGGAAGTTGGAATATTCAGGCTGAATGTGCAAGTTCACCTTTGCTTTTTCATATTATTATCTAATATATGATCAGAATCTACTCAATTAAAGATGCTATAAGAAAAAACTTTAAGTGAAAAACAATGCATTCAGAAGCTACAACTTTCAGAAAATTTTGCAACTTTTCTGCAATTCCCTAGGCAAGGCTTACCTAAATCAGTGATAGATATTAATGTAACATAGGAAGATTTTTTTTTCTCACAAATTGATTGAATGACATAAATGTTTAACACAGTTTCCTGACAAATGATGGGAATTTCATATACATTAATCTATTTGCAAAAGTACCTTCCTCATTGGCTCATGGGATGCTTTGTTTTTAATGTTGTGTATTTTTCATGACAAAAGGTATGTTGATTATTGTGCTGTTTGTAAGCAGGTCATCAACTGCTTTCAGTGATGGTTTGCAGTGAGAAGGATTGCAGTAACTTCATTTCCCCATGGAAATAGTGACTGATGCTAATTCAAGAACACAGAATCTTCTAATGACTTCCATAGTGTCTATTTCTTTCATTTTCTTAAAACAATGGGAATGGTACTGATTGTGTAACCTTATCTCCTGTCTCAGGTCTCCTAGAAATCCTGAACAGAAGATCATTAAACGAGTGATTGCTCTTGAAGGAGACATTATTAAGTAAGTATTTTAAGCCTTAGAGTCTTTATAGGAATATTGCAGCTTTTGAATGTATTTTAAATCAGTATCCTAGACAACGAGTAATTTCTAGCATTTTCTGTCTATTATTAACAAGGATGTCAGCGTTTTACCTGTTTTTTAATGAGAGGAGAAATGCTACACAAAACTATTCATTCTCTCATGAAATGTACATGGGTACAAATAATGCTTGTTTCTGAGAATATCTCTGCCACAAATCAAGGCAGGTAATTGTACAGCAGTTTTCAATGAGATTATAGGGCTGTGATTTTTCATTTAGAAACTCCAGCTGCTGTTTTGCACTGGGGTGGGCAAGTAGCTTGTTTTTAGGCTTTTGTTTATTTGTTTGTTTGTTTCAGGATCTCATCCTTGATATTTTATGTTATTTTACTTTATTGTATTGAAAAAAGAACCCTCATAGAGTACTGTCCTCACTGCAGTGTGTAGGGAATATGGTGCAACTGATTTTGAGTAAATTATTCTATCAGAAAAAAAAAAAACCATTGTAGCAAGAGTAGACTCTAGAGTACATCAAGGCTTGGTTTGCTCTGGCAGATAGAGCTTCCTGCTGGGGCTGGATGGAAATAAATTACCACTAGATGTAAATAAAAAGTTTTTGTGGGAACAGTATTACTTTGAAGAAAATGCTTGCCTGAAAAGGTTTATTTTTCCCAGGTACTCAGTGGAATAGACATACAGGTGGGGGGGTGAATCCCTGGTTTCCCATACTAAGATGTGAACGACCCTGGGAGATCTCAGACAATATGGCAGACTGTGACTCAATTCATTTAGATAATGATTCTTGCGCTGGTGTAGTGACTGTTTGAGAGTATTTGGCAGCTGCAATTCAAATCAAGGATTTGAATTTGATTTCAGTGGGCCCTAGTTAATAACATGGGCACTGTGAAATATGTCTGTATTTTTTTTCTCTTGTAGTCAATACAATTCCTGTTTTATTGAAAAATTCTCAATTTAATTGAATTATCTCAGTTTGAGAAACCAAAATAAATTGCTGTGTCTCTAGTGAAGCAAAATATCTAGAACAAAGGAGATAATCTGATGTCCAAAAGCTACAGAAATCTACAGATAAAACTACCTATCACTTTCAAGAGCTAAAGAGAGAGGAGTACTGTCTTTTATTGACCTGTGTCCTTAAGAAGGTGCTTATATTGCTGATATTAGTGCTGTAATGCATATAAGTGATAAGAATGTTATTCATGTTTCAGTATCCCTCATTTATTTCTGTGGCAATATCAGAAAGAGATTGCAATGTAAGGTAACTTCAAGGGTTACTTTACATTGTTCTATGTTACTAACATATTTGCCTTAATTTTTGAAACTGAGTGTAGATTTTGATTAAAAAAGAAGGTTTAATAACATAAGTTCTAGCTTTAGGAAATTAACTCAGCTGTACATTCAAACTCTTTAAGACTTGGAACTTTTCATTAACATTTGTGGTTGTTCCTGGCCAAATGGACAAAGGTGGAACAAGTGTGTTCAGAATACTGATGAGCCTGCAGGTTAGTGAATCACTCGTGGACACAGGAGACTGTGCAATGATCCTCAGTTGCCTGTGGTAAACCTGGTTAGATTATTTATTGACAGAAATACTGATAGAAATCTAGAAATCTCAGTAATTCCGATGTGCTTCTTTTTTTTTTTTTTTTTTTTTTTTTTTTTTTTTTTTTTTTTTTTTTTTTTTTTTTTTTTTTTTTTTTTTTTTTTTTTTNCTTTTTGCTGTGTGTCTTGGTCTTGGCTGGAATAGAGTTAATTTACTTCCTGTAGCTGGTACGGTGCTGTGTATTTTTGTCTTTAGAATGAGAATTATGCTGATAACAAAGTGATGCTTCAGTTTTTGCTGAATAGTGTTTACTGTAAGTCAAGGACTTTACAGTTTCCCATGCTTTGCCAATGAGAAGGTGCACAACAATCCAGGAAGGAGCATGGCCAGGACAGCTGACCCAACTGGGCAAAGGGATATTCCATACCACAGAATGTCATACTCAGTGTGTAAACTGCAGGGAGCTGGCTGGAGGGCATTGATCACTGCTTGGGGACAGGTGGTGAGCAATTTTATTGTGCATCACTTGCTGTTCTGGAGTTTTATTCCTCTTTTTCTCTTTTCAGTAATAACAACAACAACAATAACAATGCAGAGTGAATATTACTGTATTAATTTCTGTTGTTGTTGTTGTTAGCATTATATTTTATTTCCTCTCCATTATTAAACTGCTCTTTCTCAACCCATGAAGTTTACCTTGTCCTTCCAACTCCCCTCCCTGCCCCTGGCAGGGAAGGTTGGAGTGAGCAAGTGGCTGAGTGGTATTTACTTCCCAGCTGCAATTAAATCAGACAAGCAGTATTGCCATGGGTTGACATAAGAAGAGTGATAGGCAATATGTTCTGTGATTCTGTAGTTGTGCTTTCATAGCTGGATGAATTATATTTATTTGATCCATTTGGATAATGATTAGGGATAATACTAGAAAGCTACATTTTCATATGTTATTAATTAAAGTAAGTTAATTAGCATTTTACTGTTTGTTAATTACTGAAAGTGATGGAAGATCAAATAGGCAGAGCCATTAGTGCCATAGGAAAGGTCCCTTATATTTTGACTTGAGTTCAGGAGTTGACTTCATGGCAGAAAAATCCTGGTTTTCAAATCTTAATTCTAAAAGTATTTAATGAAATGAAAATTGTGATATTTTAAAAATAACTATGACTGACATAGACTTTTTGAAAAGGTGTGTAGATGAAAAATCTATAATAGGTCCATTTTCAACTTTTATTTTATATTTTTCAGGTAATTAGACATTATACTACATAATAATTTACCTTTTGAAATATAATTTGAGGCATTGCAAAATGCTACAAACGCACTGAAATAAAAACACTGTCATTACAGTTTTCTGTTCCTGCTTCCAGTCTAGTTGCTAGTCAGGTGAAGTGAGTTTGGTAGTGTCTTGTAAATTATTAGAAGCATCCAATAAATGCCACACATCTGTAAAAGATAATTTAATTTAATTAAGCTGGTACAACTTCCTCTTCAAAAGAATTCAAAGAATTTAAAGAATGGACAAAAAAATCCTGTTAGTCCTTGCAAATAAGGTCAGCTTGTATACAGACAATATTGCAAAGTGTAGCTCCCATAGATCAGAATTTGTGTTGTTTTCACAGGAGAAATAGCTTTAAGTGGAAAATCGGTTCCTGAAGATGGTTTAAATGATAAGTCTTAAAAAGGAGGCCTTATTTTAAAAGTCAATATAATCTAATTTGTTAAAAATTAATGTTGGTGTTATAAAGCACTTGGAATAACTTGAAATTAAACTTATTTATCTTAAATGCATTACTGGTAGTTCAAAAATCTATAGTAATCTTTCACAGATGAATTATGGTATGTTTTCAGTAACAAAAATAAATGGTAGTTTATGCAAAGGAAATCAAAATTGGTATTAAGCTAGTAAAATTTGAAATCAAGTCTATTCAGTGCCTTGTTGAACTAAATTGCTTTCCTCCTATCTGTTACATTCTACAGGTCTGCAGGAGATTGGTTATGTTTTCTTTCCTCTATTTGGTTGCTTCTTAATACTCTAACTGAGTTAAGAAGGACCAGTGAGCCTCTAGCAAGAGTAATTTTTTTAAAAAAATTATGTTTGGGAATATTGTTAGGCTCTTCAGAGTTAGTGTTCTGAACTGAATGCTTCAGGAAAATGCTGTGTGTGTTTATACATTGCATCTTACAAAATTGCTCTGAAGATGTGAAAAAGGAAATACTCCTTGTTTCTCAAAGCATGATAACACAGGCATAGATCCTTGAACTATTAAACTGTATTCACCAATACAAGTTATTCAACAATAACTTTTATTACAAGGTTTATCATTAAGTTGTAGAAACTATTACCACAGAAAGTTAGGAAGGTAAGAGGTATAATGGGATTTGAAAAAGGGTAGAGAATTAATAGAAATAAAGCCCATCCATCAGTAGCTATTAAATGCAGCAGTCACTGTTATTAACTTTATGTACTCCTGTTGTCAAGTTCATGCAGGCTGTTATAGTTTTTCCAGTCAAAGATACCATACTTCCTTAAATTATAAGTAAAATTTGTCATTCTGTCACTTATTGGAGAACCCTTTCAGCTTCAAACTGTCATTACTCCAAATAAATGTTTGGTTGCTTTCTTTATTCTCAGAAAATTGGTGTCAGTGGCATCCACTATCCCTTTAATGTGAAAAAAGACAATCATTAAGGGTTTTTTATTTTTTGGGGCTTTTTTGTTTTACTAAATCAACTCAATTTTGTCAGATATTATGACTGCCATTATTTTTTACACTGAGGTCCAGGAATGATTTTCCAACAAAATAGCTGTCTTCGCACAGAGACCATACTGCTGGATAACAACTTGTATTAGATTACACCAAAAAATCCATGACTGCCTCTAGAAAGCAGAGCAGCATGCAGAAAAACTCAGACTTTGCCAGTACTGGAGCCCAAGAATCTCTCTGTACAAAACATCTTCAGGACAATCACCTGGCAGGAATTACATGAAAACCTTTGCTAGTTAATCATAGAGAAGAAATTTATATTCACTAATGCTGTAGTAAGACTCTATTTGCTCTTTCTTTCCTCACTGCCCCTGGTAACTGAAGTACTGCTTTTGTGCTAAGATACTGCTTGCAATGGCTAATAGTTAGAGTAGGAAAATGGATTATCAGTAAACACATTAAAATCTAGAAATCACAGTAGATGATGGCACACAGGGTATGCTTATGGCTGTGTCTTTGTCAAAGTCTACTGTGTCTGTCTTTGGGTTGTGCATATAAATCTGTGAGTGGTCAGATCTGCATTGACAGGAGTGGAAGATGTACAGACATGAGAACAGGTTGTACTCTACAGAGACACAGCACCATCCTCACAGATTACAAATTTTGCAATATCTTTTGTATTGACTGTCTTCATATTGTTCTCTCTTGGTTCTTTA